ATGGTGGCACTTCTACCTGTCAGCACTTAGGAGGCTGAGACAGGAAGATTTTGAGTTTGAGGCCAGCTGGGCTACATAGCAAGTTCAAGGCCAGCGTGGACTACATCAACCCAGACTCAATAAAACAAAACAAAATGAAGGAGAATTTCAAACAATCTAACCTATACCTCAAGGAACTAGAGAATGAACAAACTATGCCCAAAGCTAACAGAAGGAACTAAATAGTAGAGCAGAGATAAATGACATAGCAGAAAAACAGAAAAAATCAAACTTAAGAGTTGGTTTTTTTTTTTTAATATCAAAAAATTTGACAAAACTTCAACTAGGTTAAGAAAAAAATGTTCAAATAACTAAAATTAGAAATGAAAGGACAACTGATGTCACCAGAATAAAAATTACGAGGCTAGCATGAGTATTTGTATACTAATAGATTGGATACCCTAGAAATACATGCCTCAGGGCTGGCAGAGTGGCTCAAGTGGTAGAGCACCTGCCTTGTAAGCATGAGGCCCCGAGTTCAAACCCCAGTACCACCAAAAAAAAAAAAAACAAACAAAGAAATATACACCTTACTGAGTCATGAGGAAATAGAACAATCTAAATATGCCTGTAAGTAGTAAAGAGATTAAATGGCTAATCACAACACCAAAAAAAAGGACCAAATTGCTTCATTGGAGAATTTTACCAAACATAGTTAAATAATTAACATCTATCCTTACACTCTTACAACAACAACAACAAAAAAGAAAATTGAAGAGAAGGAAACACTTCCAAACTCACTCTATGAAGTCACCATTACCCTGATTCCAGTATCCCTGATGAATATTTTCCCAAAAACTCTAAATAAAACACTGGCAAATATAATTCAACAGTACAATACACCATGACCAAGTGGAATTTGTGCCTGAAGTGCAAGGATGTCCCAACATAGAAAAATCAATGTCATTGTTGTGGACAGGGTATCCAAGGAAGGTGTAAAATCATTTTGCAGATAACCTGCTTTGTTTTTGGTTTTGTTCCTGTTTTCAGTACTGGGAATTGAACCAAGGGCCTCACACTGCTATGCAAGTGCCCTACCACTTGAGTCACCCCCCTTTTGTTTGTGTTTTGTTGTTGAGATAGGATTTCACTAACTTTGGCTGGGCTCCTGCCTTTGCCTCCCTAGTAACTGGGATTATAGACATGCCCAACCACACCTGGCAAGTGACATATTTTTATAATGAGAAAATCCTGAAGATTCCACCAAATAATTTTTAAAACTAATTTTAAAAGCTCAGCAGGCTAAGGATACAAAAATCAGTTGCATTTCTTTTGTTAAGTTGTTTTATTTTTTGAGACAGGGTTTCACTATGTAGCCCAGGCTGACCTCAACTCACAATCCTCTTGTCTCAGCTTCTTGAGTGCTAGGATTACAGGTATGTCCCACTATGCCTGGCAATTAGTTGCATTTCTATACACTAACAATGAACATTCAAAAAATGGAATTAAGCTGGGTAGCAGAGGCTCACACCTGTAATCCTAGTTACTTGGTATGCTAAGTTTGGGAGGATCATGGTTTGAGGTCACCCTGGGCAAAAAGTTTGAATAACCCCGTCTCCAAAATAACAAGCAAAATGGACTGGAGGTGTGGCTCAGGCAATAGAGTACTTGCTCTGTAAGCACAAAGCCCTGAGTTCAAACCCAAGCCCCACAAAAAAATGGAATTAAAAAAATTCCTCATTTTACAACATCATAAACAAAAAAATACTTAGGAATAAACAATTAAGGAGATGTGCTGTAATCTGAATGTTTGTTCTCCCCTCCACTCCACCAAATTCATCTATTGAAACCTAATCTCCAAGTATTAAGAGGTAGGGCCTCTGGGAGGTGATTAGGTCAAGAAGTCTCCTGCTTCATAAATGGGATCCATGGCCTTAAAAAAGAGGTCAAGGAGCTCGTTCTCCCCTCTACCATGTAAGGACACAGCGAGAGGCACCTCCTGTTAAGCAGAGGGCCCAAGTCCTTGACTTTCGACTTCCCAGCCTCTAAAAGTGTGAGCAATCAACTTCTGTTATCTACACATTACAGTCTCAGGTGTTCTGTGACAGCAGATTGAACAGATGGAGACTAGATGACAGAACTGTACACCGAAAGCTATAAAATAGCACTGTGAGAAATAAATGGAAAAACAGGTTGCCTGGGTTAGAAGACTTACTATTGTCAAGATGCTAAGACTACTCAAAGCAATATACAGATTCAATGCAATCTCGGGCTGGAGGCATGGCTTAAGTGGTAGATGCTTCCCTGTCAAGCCTTGACTTCAAACCCCAATACTGCCAGAAAATCAAAAAGCAAACAACAACAGCAAAACAGATGCGATGCAATCTCTATCTACATTCTAATGACATTTTTTCTTGCAGAAGTAGAAAATGGCAATCCTACAATTCATCTCAAATCTCAAAGGACCTTGAATAACCAACCTGAAAAAGAAGCACAAACTTTGGAGTACACACATCCTGATTTGAGAAAATTATCAAGGAAGAGTAATTGAGCTAATATGGATATAATGTGGCATAAAGACAAGCATACGGTTAGGCGTGGGGGTGCAGTCCTATAATCCCAGCACTCAGGAGCCTGAGACAGGAGGATCATGAATTTAAAGCCAGCCTGAGCTACACAGCAACACTCTATCACAAACAAACAAAAAGACAAGCATAGAGACCAATGGAATAGAATAGAGAGACAAAAAATAAAACCTCATATATAGGGCCAAATGATCTTTGAGAAGTGTGCCAAGACTTTTCAGTGAGCAAAAGACAGTCTCTTTAACAAATGGTGCTGGGAAAAGTAGATATCCACATCTAAAAAATGAAGTTGGACCCTTACCTGAAGCAATATACAAAAATTAACTCAAGTCAAATCATGATGGTACATGACTATGATCCCAGTTATTCAGAAGGTGGAGATCAGGAGGGTCAGGGTTCGAGGCCAACCTAAGCAAAAAAGTTAGTGAGGCCCCATCTCAGCAAACAAGCCTGTGCCAGCATGCCTATGATCCCAGCTGGGAGGGAGGTGGAGGTATGAGAAACTTGGTCCAAAGCCAGCCAGGCCAAAAGAGTGCATAAGACTCTATTTGAAAAATAATTGAAATGAAAACAGCTGAGGGAAGAGACTGAAGTGGTAGAGCACCTGCCTAGCAAGTGTGAGGCACTGGCTTCAAACACTGTAGCACCAAAAAGAAACAAAGCAAAACAAAAAAACTCAAAAGACCCAAAAGTAAGAGCTCAAACTCTGAAACTCCTTGAAGAAAACAGAGTGGGAAACTTGCATGATTGTTCTTGGGATTTGACGCTAAAACCACAGGCAACAAAATTAAAAACAGACAAGTGTAATGACATCTGCATGAAGGACAGTTAACCAAGTGAAAAGAAAACTATGGGATGGGAGCAAACACTTAAAAATCATGCATCAGGTAAGAAGTTAATATCTAGGATAAAGAACTCCTACAACTCAACAACAAAATAACCCATGGGCAAAGGATTTGGTAGACCTTGCTGGGAAGATGATACACAAATGTCCAGCAAGTGAAAACTGTGAAACATGCAACATGAACAGATGCTGAATGTCACTCCACAATGACACATGGTTCATACCCATTAGGATAGCTAGATGACAAGTGTTGATGGGGCTGTGGAGAAACTGAAACTATTGTGCTCTGAACTGTACCCTTGATGTACTATTACACTTCCTAGGATGGAAGATTCTATGTTATGTTATGGGGTTTTTTAAACTACAATTAAAAAAAAAAAAAGCAAGTACATGTTTACAAGGTCCAGCTTGCATGAATCTGAAGGGGAAGAGTTTGGTGTGGAGAAGAATGAGTGACCCACTATTCCACTGTGAGTTATTAGTTAGGAATACTGAGTGGGCGTGTTTTTAATTGAAAGGAGACTAAACAGCTTTCTATAGATAAAATACAGACTGCACCCTTAAATATTTGCAGGAAATTAGCCCCTCAGGAAGCTTAAACTGATTTCATCTCCTGGGCTGACCCCACTTGCATATACTTCCGGTTTATGGACTACGATAAAGTGAGTGTTCTTCTGGAATTTTGCTGAGCCCTGATCAGAGGAGAGTCCCAGATGACTCACCCTTACAAAGTCTATTTACTCCTGGAAATGTAGGTTACTCTAATAGGCTTCGATAGCCCATCCAGTCTGGGGCTGGGGAAAGCAGATCTCTGTCTCATAGTTACTTTCAGAGTGAGAGATGAACTAACTGTTAATAGCTTTTCTCCAAGCAGAGTGGTCAATTTGCTTTTATTTGCAAAGCTTCATTTGGCTAGTACACAGGATCACAACAATAATTTCAATTTCTTTGTCTTTTTAAATCATTTATTCAAAGGGGAAATTTGTCCTACCAATAGTGGCCACCATCATGTAAGTACCTACTAGGAGTCATACACGAACTGGGCAGCCAAACTTACCCATCTAATGGTTTGTTCTAAACCAGTCTATAATAGAATAGATATTCTTCTCATTTTGCAGATACACACAAGAAATCAAGTTACTTGCCTAGGCCCACCCAGCTAGCAGGGAAGAGCTAGGATTCAAACAGGTCTGCCACCTACCCATGCATGCACACTTTCTAATTCATTATAAAACCTCTTGTAGACACAGAGTTGCAACTGGAAGGATGGCAAAGTCCAGTTATCCTATTTCAAATTAAAAGAAGGTACAGTACCCTTTTCATCTATTTTACTCAATAAAGAATAAAGATGGCTCAAAGCAGTATTTGCGAAGTTTTTCTGCTTATTCCTTCTTAAATGAGGACCAGAAAGATCCTGGTGACTAGTTGGAAACTGATTCTCAGGTGTGTTGAGAATTAGTGTTGATGCTTAAGTAGATGATGTATTTAAGCTGATCACCACTCTTTGTATAGATAACACCTGAGTCTTCATTGCAAAGATTATTTAACTAATGAACTGGCAAGTTCTTATAGGCTAAAATTCTAAATCAGGATTTTAAGACTCGTACTAATTTAAGAAATAATAGAGTGAAGTCTTTAACTTAAAAATGCATATATTTTCATCTTACACTTCTCATAGCAGAAAATATAACATATATTCACTTTTCCATAATATCTAAAAAGAAGAAATGCTTATTTCTTTTAAAATAGGCTACTCGCTAAAATCAGTATTTTAAAAACTTGCAATATTTGTAAATACTGAAAAAACATTCATGCTTGTTACCACTTCTTAAGAATGAGGGAGGACTTCCCACTTCTGTCGATAATTTGTGTTAGAAAGAATGAATAGGCAGGGGCTCCATGTAGGTGTGGTGACTCTGAATTCGGTTTAGAAGCTGCTGTGCCACAGGTTTGAATTCAGTTTCCCAATGGAGTTTGTGATAGTTTTTTAGGTCTTGGTCAGAACTGCCATCCAGTGCTAGTTCTTCATCTGTATCAGAAAAATTGAAATGAGAGCAATTATTTGGAAATGCTATCCTACTGCACAGAGTTTAATTTTTGATGACATGAGTTAAACTCGGGTTTAATACCAACGTGACACAAGATAGGGCTTGGAATTAAAATGCTTTTTACTTTGTGTGTGTGTGTGTGTGTGTGTGCGCACATGCACAGTACTGGGGTTTGAAATCAGGGCCTCAGGCTTATTAGGCAGGTGTTCTACCACTTGAGCCACACCTCCAGCCCTTTTTTGGGTTTTTGAGACAGGGTTTTACTATGTAGCCAAGGCAGGTTTTTACTATGTAGCGAGAGGCCTCAGGCAATCCTCCCACCTCTATCTCCTAAGTAGGGGGGAGCACAGGCCTGCAAAAAAAAAAAGCTTTTTTTAGTGGGAAAAAGTTATTTTTTTATACTGTTATTTTTAAATTGTTGTGCTGGGTGGGGTACATTGTGGCATTTACAAAAGTTCTTACACATATCAAATATATCATACTTGAATTCACCCCCTCACCACTGCTCTCCTTTATCCCCTCCTCTCCCATTCCTGGAATAGTTTCAACAGTCTCATTTTTGCATTTACATACATATGTACACAGTATTTGCCCCAGGTTCACCCTCTTATACCATTTCCCCACCTCCTCCCCCCTTCCACTGGTACCAATTCCCTGCCCCCCCCACCCCAAGGCAGGACCTGTTCCACCCACCTGTTCTCTGATTTTGTGGAAGAGAAAGAAATTATATTTTTGCTTGTTTAAGACAAAGATAGCTACACAGGGAGTTTCCTTTGCAACATTTATGTTGGGGTTATATTACAACCCCAATTGGTTCATCTCCTCTATTTTTCTTCATTCTACCTTAGTCCCTTTTTTTGATTGTTTTAAAAATTCTATATTTATTCTTATATAGAGAGTACATCAACCATAGTCACCTTCTCAGTTTCCTTCTTTTACTCTACCCCTCTCATGTGTGACCTCCCCTTAGTGTGACCTATTTTTCATAATATTGTTGTATTTGTATTGTCTGTATTCCACATATGAGAGAAAACATGTGCCCTTTGACCTTCTGAACCTGACTAACTTCACTGAAGATGATGTTCTCTAGCTCCATCCATTTACCTGCAAATGACAAAATTTCATTCTTCTTTGTGACTAAAATTCCATTGTATATAAATACCATATTTTCTTGATCCATTCGTCAGTGGTGGGGCATCTTGGCTGTTTCCATAACTTGGCTATTGTGAATAGTGCTGCAATAAACATGGGTGTGCAGGTGCCTCTGGAGTAACCTGATTCACATTCCTTCGGGTATATTCCTAGGAGTGGTATTGCTGGATCATACGGTAGATCTATTTTTAGTTTTTTAAGAAGCCTCCATACTGTTTTCCATAGTGGTTGTACTAATTTACATTCCCACCAGCAGTGTAAGAGTGTTCCTTTTTCCCCACATCCTTGCCAACACTTGTTGTTGGTGGCATTCTTGATGGTAGCTATTTTAACAGGGATGAGATGGAATCTTAGTGTGGTTTTGATTTGCATTTCCTTTATAGTCAGGGACGGTGATTATTTTTTCATGCATTTTTTAGTCATGTGAACTTCTTCCTTTGAAAAAGTTCTGTTCAGTTCAGTTGCCCATTTCTTCATTGGGTCACTGATTTTTTTTGGCAATTTAGTTTATTGAACTCCCTGTATAGTCTGGCTGTCAGTCCCTTGTCTGATGTATAGCTGGCAAAGATTTTTCTCCCATTCTGTGGACAGCTTCTTCAATTTAGAAACCATTTCTTTTGTTATGAAAAGCTTTTTAATTAAAAATCTTGGGAGAAGTTCTTTACTCTCTTTGGTTTTTCTACAAATATTGTTAAATAAGTTTGTTTGGTTGGCTGGGTTTTGGTTTTTTTAAGACAGGGTCTCACTACATAGCTCAGGCTGTCTTCAACTCAAGATCCTCCCACCTCTGCCTCCAGATGCTGGAATTATAGGTGTGTACTACCACACCCAGAAAAACAAGTATATTTTAGTTTCTTAATTTAAAAGGGCAATAATTTTCTCCAAAAAAAAGTATTAGATTGAAGTGAGCTCTTCTCTCAATAGTCAATTAAATTTACACATAAATTTGTATCCAAAAGTCAGATTACAACTTGTCAAAATAAACAAAGGATTCATAGGTTACTTCTTTACATGAAGTTAATTACTTCAATGTTTGGCAGATATGAAAGGAGTTAGGAAATCTTTTGGGAAAGTATGCCAGTTAATTTAGACACTCTACTGAAAGGTGAGGATGTAGCTCAGGGGTAGATCACTTGCTCAACATGTATGAGGCTCTGGGTTCAATCCCCAGCACTGCAAGAAAATAAACTTTACTGAAACTTAAAACTTTGGCTGAAAATAGCTAGGATACACTTCTTTGAAAATACAACAAATCCCTTTAAGGGCTGGGGATGTACCTAAGTGGTAGAGCACTTGCCTAGCATGAGAAAACAGCCCCTTCATCTGCCCCTCTTTCCAATAACTGAATGTTGAGGGGCTTAAGAATCCCAAGAAGTATTACATTCTAAAAAGTGGCCGAAAATAATGCAGAAAAGCCTTGCCAAAATAAAATGCAACTTTAATTTCATTCTTTTTTTTTAGTGAGACTGGGGTTTGAATTCAGGACTTAGTGCTTGCAAAGAAGGCACTCTATTGCTTGTAGTCATGCCTCCAGTCTATTTTGCTCTGATTATTTTGCAAAGTATTTATCCAGGCTGGCCTCAAACCGTGACTGTCCTGATCTTAGCTTCCCAAGTAGCTGAGATTACAGATATGAGCTGCAAGCACCTGGCTTTAATTTCATTCTTAATGCAAGGTACCCCTTGAATTCTGTAAATACCGTAAGAATATCAAACCTAAGTAGAAATATAAATGGCCACTTGTGTTTTTCTGTACAACTAACCACCAAACCGTGACTGTCTGATCTTAGCTTCCAGTAGCTGAGATTACAATATGAGCTGCAAGCACCTGACTTTAATTTCATTCTTAATGCAAGGTACCCCTTGAATTCTGTAAATACCGTAAGAATATCAAACCTAAGTAGAAATATAAATGGCCACTTGTGTTTTTCTGTACAACTAACCACCACATTTTTACCTGACTATATTGGCATCACCTCCCTCCAGGTGACAGACTTCAGGCAAGTGCACTGGCCTTCCAGTCAGATTGGTTTGCTCTTCCTAGGTCCATAAATGGCCACTTGTGTTTTTCTGTACAACTAACCACCACATTTTTACCTGACTATATTGGCATCACCTCCCTCCAGGTGACAGACTTCAGGCAAGTGCACTGGCCTTCCAGTCAGATTGGTTTGCCTCTTCCTAGGTCCATGGCCTGAGCCAAGCTGCTTAAATGGCAACCAGTAATGCCAAAATGACCACTAGTGTTGCTACTTACATAACTCACAAACTTTTCTTTCAGAGGGACAATTAAAATCCCATTATAAAGTGCTCCATCACTCTGTTTACATCAGATGTTCTACACTGAATATTTGTGTATGCTCCATGTGTACTTTGGCACGATGGGTTTTAGTGTTACCACCCAAGATAAGAGAGTGTGGAATCCCAGTTTGTACTTTCCTCCTCTCCTGATGACCAAGTAGACAGCTATGCAGCTCTGAGCTAAGTTCCAGGCAGACCCAAGCACAGCAGGGTGCTCCATGGAGACTCTGTAAGCAAACCTGGCTCTCCCCACCCACCCGTGAGACAACCAGGGCCTTTAGGGGAGTAGAATGCAGACAATGTTTGGTGCCTTCACAGCTCTTCCTGTTTGGCTAATTTTGGACAAGAAGAGCCTGCTAGACTCTAGTGACTTCAGATTTCTAGATCATCTTCCTGTTCACTCTTCTCTAACTTTGTGTGTGTGTGTGTGTGTGTGTGTGTGTGTGTGTGTGTGTGTATGGGGCTTGAATTCAGGGCCTTGAGCTTGCTAGGCAGGCGCTCTACCACTTGAGCCACTCCACCAGCCCTTCATTCTTCTCTAGATGCATTTATAAGAAAGGAATACTCATTTTATGCCCCTCTTTCCCAAGCTGCTTATGGGTGAAAGTGTGGCCCAAGTACATTGCAGTTTCTTCTTCTGCCCAGGCCTTGGGTGGCTTTGGTGGTTTGGGCATATTCTCTGTTGTTTTTTAATCTAATGTTAAGACTATGTAACACTCCTTGACATCCAGCCTGCATAGAAATTAGCTAATCATAGTCAGACCATAGTAATTCTAAATTGGGTTAAACAGGTAACAATAGCCAAACAGCTACAGGTAAAAGAAATGCAGTCTGAAGTTTCAAAGTAAGGGCTGGAGGTGTGCTTCAAGAGGTAGAGCACCTGCCTTGCCCATGCAAGGCCCTACATTAATGGTTCCATATTAATGGAATGCGACAGAAGGGGTGAACTGATTCAAAGTACACTGTACGCAACTATGGAATTGCCACAATGAAACTGCATTGTACTATTATTGTATACTAATAAAAACCCCATATTACACCCTGTGTTAAATTCTTAAACTTGTACTGCAGAGTGCAGAAGAGGTTTGATTCAAATTTATATCTAATTTTCAAATTTACTGTGACCCATGGTAAGAAATACATTTTACATCATGACTTGCTGTGTATATACATACATTATACACACACATAGAGAAAAACAGAGACAGAGAGAGAAATTTATACAAATAACAAGTGTTTCACATTAGGACACTTACCTTTACTATGTGTAATACAGTCTGATATTTTTTTCTTTGCTATTTTTTTTAAGACGTTGGTTAGAATAAAATAAGTTGCTCTCATAACCCACAGAATAGCCAATATTCTTCAGCTTTCTTCGTGCAGCATCTACTTCCAAACACTTAAATTTGGGGTAAGGTATTAAAAAGGATTAAAAGACTCAAAAGAAACCTGTCAGTGGCCATGATAATCCAGTTGTCCTTGTGGATCAAGTGTCCTGCAGTGTCAATGAATGCTCCCCCTGCTTGCTGCACTATTTCCTAGTTTGCTGTACAGCACAGGTTGCTGATAGAAGGATCTGTCATTGCCCTGATCATTCTCTTACAAGGCACAGTGCTTTCTGGTTCCAGAAGCACCTGATGGCTCTTTGGCATAGGCCTGCTGATGTGATCATCCAGCTGGAACATCATGCCCCACTCTATGCTTGTCACAAAACCTGAGTGCCAGGTCCTGAGTGTATGATAAGCATACAATAGCCTGGTATTCTTTATGTGTGCAACAATAAACTGCATACACCCATCTGAGTGGGACTCATGGTGGACTAGAATGCCAAGGCCCACCACTTACAGCTCTCAGATAAACCAATAGTAAGAAGTGACTATAGTCTGCCAGGAGGTTTTAGACAATAGTCTTTGTAAGTCCCTTTCCAGAAAGACTCAACATCTCAACCATGTTGAGCACCATTACTTTCTTTCTCTCTCTCTTTTTTTCTAATCAGCCAGCAAGAAAAAAAGTGAGGTAACTTTTATTACTATGCCAATTGTTCCATCGTTATTTCCAAAAACAGCATTCATACGTCAACATGGGCTTTTGTGATTTAACAGTTCATCCTGTTTTCAAAATAGCCTTTTAAAAAAGCTGTCTTTGCAAAAGAATTGAAATTCCAGTTACTCTCATCTACAGGCCCTTTTCACTTGCTGCAGCCCAACTATACAAACACAGCCCTGATGCTTGTCAGAAGTAAGGGTCTGAGTGCCAAGAAGCAGTGCAGACCACACAGACCACAGGGCCCAGCCCTCATAATTCATAGGGTGGGGCTCTTTTCAGCATAAATTATACTAAGGAGTTTCATTGTGAAATTTCTATACATGCATATAATGGATTTTGATCAACTTCACCTCCTCTGTTGGGAGGCGCTCTTGGTCACATGAGAAATCTGGCATGCTTGTATTGGGAACTTGACCCCCCCAATCAAACTATTGATTTTGTTATCCATGCCACAGTCTCCCCTTTGTGGGATGGGGTGGAGCCAGGGTGCCCTATGTAACAGAACAGCAGAAAAACATGGATGTTTATATTCTGATGAAAATTTATGGCTCTGTTATAATATGACCTTAGGCAAGTCACCTTACTCTTCTAGACTGATTTTTCCCATCTGTTACTTAGCTAATGACTGCAGAACCTCTTGTGAGGATAGAATAAACTTGTTTTTAACAGTACAGCTGGGAGTGGTGGGGCACACCTGCAATCCCAGCACTCAGGAGGCTGAGGTGGAGGTTCAAAAGTTCGAGGCAAGCTAGCCCAGGCTATGTAGCAAGAGCCTGTCATTCATAAGTAAATAAATCCTTTTAAAGGTATATAGCACTATTAAAACAAAGGTAGCACTCTTGTCAGCCAAATCCATAAGCATTTATCAAGTACCTAGTTTGTATGAGGCAATTCAATATCCTTTCCCTGAAGAGATTCAGTAGGATGGGGAAAGAAGATAAAATGCATAAAACAATAATACAGGAGAAACCACACAGGCCATAATGAATTGCTATATAAGAATGGGCTTCCTATGACTAGACTACGACCATGACCTTCAAGAGCTAGAAGAAGGGCCTGTAAGGACAGCAGCGTGTGCACAGACATGTAGGATATACGAATGTGCCAAGGCCAGAGGCCACAGAAGCCTAATGTGGCCATAAGGGACAGTTAGGAACCAAGCAGCAGGCATAAGCCTGCCACACAGAAGAGCCTTCCAGGTGTACTGCCCCATCCACAGCCTCTTCTGATTGGTCCTGGTGTAGTGTGCCCACCATCCTTATTATTTATGGCTAACCGCCCCAGTGCTAAGTAACAAAGGAAGCCACACATAGCTTCGCACAGGGGCCCACAAAAGCTTCATGCCACAGGATAGTGACTCACTGAGCCAATCATACCTTCTCCCTCAATGGGAGACACAGAAAAGCATGCCACCAGCAGAGACCCAGAAAGACAAACACTGAGTATAGCAGGTAGAAGCCTGAGGTAGCAGAAGCCATGACAAAATGGGATCCTAGGCGAGCAGGGGGAGGAAAGACCTTTTTCCATCACAGCAGGGACAGGGCAGAACTGGATGCTGGACTGTGGAGCCCAGGGTGGGGGCTGATGCTGTCTGCTACTGAGGGGTCCCTGAGGACTCGCTCCTGAGTGCTTCTCCAGGAGGCTTTGGGCTGTATCTTGTTTCCTGACTTCTTCCTTTTCTGTACATCCTTCCCTTAAACTCTTTCATGAACCAGAGAGGAGGATCTCAGTCCTGGCTGCGTATCAGACCCACCGGAGGAACTTTCAAAACCACAGATTCTCAGCTCTGGCTCACCCCAGAGCTCCTGCATCCAAATTCCTAGAGCTGGGCCAGGATAGGTGTTGTAACCCCATAGCTGACTTTAGTGCCCAACCCCGCTGCCAGCTAAACTAAGGCTACCTGAGCAGGCAAGTGCTTTTGCTTCCTGAATTTGAGAAAGCTTGATGTTCATGGAGACTGTGAAATTCAATCATTTAAAACCATGCTCATTTTTTTTCTTACTCTGCATTTTAAAACCTACAAAATTATATTTATCTGGAAAAGAACAAAACCTCACAAAAGTAAGGCAAATCTGATTCTTTCAAATACCTTTTGAGTCTGGGTTCCTGATCAGTAATACATTGTTACAACACTCAGACTTTACAAAGCACTTTAGCCATACATAGTTTGAGGACAGGCTCTTTGTCATGGCTACTCACTTATCATTCTAACAACCCTGCAGGGTAGACATTGATTATCCTTAACTTAGAGGTAATAAAATGTAAATTCAGGGAGGCTAAGTCCAAAGTTTAAAAACTTATAAGGGACAAAGCAAGGACTTGAACTCAAAACTGTGTGACTACAGCCTTCTGGGTCTTTCCCCATGGTGGTATTGTCATGTCCACATTTTAGAGATGGCAAGACAGGCTGAGAGCTTCCTTTGTTCAAATTACACCAATGCCCACCAGGAGGATCTGAACCCATGGCTTCTGAATCACAGATTCACAGCCTTTCTACACAGCCTTGCCATCCTATGCAGTGTTGGGTCACGATAGGTGTACATGTCTTCCGTGTAAGAAAGAGGTTATTGAAAACACTCAACTCATTTAACTGACCCAGATCATTGTTTTTAGATCTAACAAGGATAAAAAAAAATAGAAAAATTTTAAATGTAGGAACCAATCCTCTTTGGTTTATACCTCCAGTTTGTAAACCTACAGTTTTTACTCTTTAAGGATAAGGACCCCACTGTAATGCCAAATACCTTCACAGAGCTGCTAATTAAAGTGTATAGATTCATTTTAAAGTATGACTTAATTCAGAGTAGCTTTTAGCCATAGTTTCTCAGTTGCAACAGCGTGCTATATACTTTTAAGCAACCAAAATACATTTATGCTGAAATCTTATATTTATTCAGGTAAAGAAAATGAAAAAAAAGCCATAGAAGTGTTGGGTCTAGAGACCTAAGGCAGATGAGTGAGTATCCCATCCCCCAAGGAGAGCACTGTCATTTCTACATCCTGAGGAGATGGAGGCCTGCATTCCTACATCCTAAAGGAGAGATACAGATCTGCCACAGGGCTGATGAGCAAAATGCTCTCGATTGTTCCCTTCCCCCATGGCAGCATCCAAGGAGCTAAAAATTATATGTCTTAACTGTAAATAACAATAGTGATTGTTCCAGAGAGTTCCAAACTACAGTAATCTCTACCATTCTCTTGTTGCATATAGAAAAATACCCACCCAGACACATTGTGATCTTTATACAGGTCACAGAATACATTTTTCTTATGTCACTTGGATAAAACTCACACAGTCACAGTCAGGTGTCTTACCTAGAAATGATGGCAGCAGGGCTAAGAGTGTGTTGGTGTCTTCATCTCCAAAACACGATGAAGCATTTGTGATATTTTCACTGAAGTTCCACAAAGTCTTGCAGACCAAGCAGGCCAGCTGCCAATCAGTAGGACCAAAATCTCTTAAGCAATCCACTAACCTCAATTCAAAAAAGTCAAATTGAAAAGTTATTCAGTCAGAATCTATCTTCAACCTTTGAATTTTTAGCATGATGGTTATTCCTTCTATGATACTTAATATGCATTATATTTAATTCATTTAAAATAATTTTATCTCTACAAAGTTAAGTGGCTACAAAATAGCAAAAACCATGTCTGAATTATTTTAAGTCCAGTAGAACCTAACTCTCCTTTTCAGCTCCAGTTAGAGCTTCCAAATATTGAAATACCTCTGCTCAATTGGAACGAATCTTGGGGTGGGAGAGGAGGAGCAAAGTTCCCAGGAAAACTAGGTCTTCTGAGAGTCAGGACTTTGCCTTGAAACTTACTTTTTAATGCCACCTCCTTCTTTCAGGATGACACGCTTGTCTTTATCCACAGTGAGGTTTAAGAGAACACCACAGGCAGAAAAACAAATGTCCTGATGCTTAGAGTCTAGCAGGGCAATCATGAACTTGTGAACTGGGAAGACAGAAAACAAATGCAAACCGTGAAAGCTCAGGGGCCCCTGGCTGTATCTCACTTTACAAATGGCATGGGGGAAATGGGGAAGGAAGTCTCACAAAACTGGAAGTCCTGTTAGTGAACTTAGCCAGTTCTTCCCAAGTCTTCATCCATCTCCCAGTAGTGGGTTTCCCAACACCCAACACTCCCAGATCCTGCTCCCGGGTCCCCGTGTTCCCTGGTCTAATACTACCATTACTGACCAGCAATAGCTCCCTCTCCAGAGTCCCAGCAGGTGGGAAAGGACACAGGAGACATTTACCCCATACTTCAGGTTGTTTCTAAGGGCCCTTTTGAATTTCCAGGAGTGACTCTAAATGCACAGCCTGGGGTCAGTCAAGAGTAAGAAGAGCTTCTCAGACTAGTGTGTTTTAGAGCTCATGATGGTGGCTTCATCCTCTATCCCTTGATCACCAGCTTTTTTGCTCCCAATTATGTTCTTACAGCTAATCCATGTTGACACATGAATGTCTAATTCATTTGTTTTAATAGTTGTAAAACATTTTGTTGTAAGAATATTACATATTTATGCAACAAAATACATCACATATACTTATCTTCTTGGTTGGATACCTCGGTTGTTTCTACTTCTTGCAATTACAAGCAAAATGTGACAGACATTCTAGCACATGAAGGAAAATCTCTTGAGCCCACTCCTGTGGGCACAAGTGATGAATGCATATTGTTTCTAGCACACACACACACACACACACACACACACACACCCCATTCCAGCTCTCAGAGGCCATTCACCAGAGAGAAGGGAACACCGCCCAGGTCCAGCTCAGCACTCTGAGCTGAGCACCTCCCATGTGGAACAGAATGCAAAGCACTGTGAGTCTTAAAGCAGAAACAAGTATCACACTGTACTCCCTGCGCTCTGGAACCACTGAGCCAATTATTGGCAAGAAGTGCATGCTGATGAACTTAATTGTCATCAACTCACCATTGTTCTGCACAATGAAATCACAGATGTCATGGTCCTGGGAGAGATTTCCAAACACATGCACAGCCTCCAGGATTCCATCCATGTTGTTACTCACAAGGAGCTTTAAGAGCACTACATTGGATAGCCAGAGAAACAAAAACAGTGAATTTCAGTTTACATTTAAAGACTAATGAAGCCAATATCATATTAAATACTGATAACTCAAAAGTTAAAAATGATAAAATACCAACTATAAGGGAGTTCAGCAAGAATTCCCCATAATCAAGTTTTTCAGAAACAGACCAAACTCTCAGACATTTGAGGCATATATCACAAGATAGTAATTGCTTCCTTCCGTGTTTAGTTAATGAAGTCAAGGCCTTAAATGAGCATATGAGAATCCAGCCCAGCTCTGAACCTTACATTCAGCAATATACAGCTTTTTGTCTTGGATGATGGAATTCTTCACTTGGTAGAAAGACAAATTGTTGATGGTTGCTGTAGCATTGATCACCAGCTCCTCACAATCATCAAGTGACTTGTATTCTGAAAGGAAGTGATGAAGGAGTCAGAGACCCATGACACCAATGGTGTCTAGAAGCACTATTGGTCACTTCATTTCCTGGGACTCTGCCTGCAGGGAAATGCACCAAATGCAAGGCACCACTCCTGTTGGTGCAGACAGACATTATAACTTAATCCCATAGCCAGGAAGTCTAGAAAATTCTAGCAGGTCTAGGCCATGTGTCTGAAGTGAAGCAAAGTGGCCACCACCCCAGGAAGCAGAGCTGTCTCTGAATCCGGCAGTTTGCCCTGGCCTCAGGATCAAACAGGGACGCCAATTCCCCACCTCCCACTTCCCACTAGAATGGTCCTTAAGTCCTGATCCTTCCATAGCAATCAACTCTGCCTTCCAAACACTGAGAATCAGTCACCACTCATTCCTCTATCATCCCAGTCCATCTCTCATCTCCTAGTGCTTCTCTTCTCCCACTTTTGCCTCCCTGAACCTATTCTCAATGCAAAAATCCTCCAAAGTGAGTCAGAGTGTCACTCACCCCACAGCCCACCAATAGCTCCATCTTGCTTGGCCCACAGGCCCCCCTGAGTCATCCCCCTCACCCCACGTTGGTCCTATCTCCCTAGTTTCATTTTCTACTCCAGCCCCCAAGGCCAACCACACCAGTCTTCTTGCTTTTTTGAACAGGTCAGCCAGATACTTTTGCATTACTCCCTTCTGTCCAGAATATACTGTTCTTCCAGTTCTCCACTTGGCTCACTGCTCATGTCTTTCCACAGTTGCTTAGACATCACCTTACTGGATGTACGTTCTTTACCCATCCTATACAAAATAGCATCTGTTGCTCCCTCTTCCCCCTACCCCACTTTAATGTTCTCCATAGCACATATGGCCACCTGTCATTAAAGGTGTTGTGTTTGTCTTCCAGCTCTAAAATGTTGATTCTATGAGAACTACGGACTTGTCTGGTTTATTCCTTGCTTCATTCCCAACACCTAGAATGATGACTGGCACATAGTAGGTGCTGAAAAAATAGTTGCTGAATGTGAGAATGAATGAAAAATGAGGGAATGGACCTTTAGCATGGCATATAAGACCCTTAGTGATTTTGTCCATGCCTTTCTCTCCATGTCCCGACCCATCTCTTAACTTTTTGGCCACAGGACCGAGCAGATATAGGTATGTCAGCATTCCAAATAGTGACACAGCTTAGACATGGGTGACAGTGCAGATGGAGCAGAGCAGGCAGAGCGTACTTGGTGAAGACCAGTGTGCAAGAGAGAGGAGTTACCCTGTACTCCTGCTAGATCTCTCACTTTCATAACTGAGTGGCTGTTATGGTTTGGATAACTGTCTCTCAAAGACCCATACGTTAAAGGCGTGGTCCCTAGCCCTTGACACTGGGGAGGTGGTGGAGCCTTTGAGGGGTGGGGTCTAATGGGAGGAAGTTATGGTATTGGGGTGTGCCCTTGGGGAGGATATTGGGACCTTTACCCCTCCTCTTCCTCTCTTTCACTTTCCTGCTAAGGTGAGGTGCACGGTTTCCTTTGTCAGGTGCTCCTGCTCCAGCCATGATGTACTGACTCATCGCAGGCTCAAAACTAGGCCAGCCAGCTAGGGACTGACACCCCCACTAACTGTGAGCCAAAATAAACCTTTTTCTTATTAAGTTGATAGTCTCAGCATTGTTAAAAGATAGAAAGCTGACTAACAAGGATGTCAACCACATTCTCTGAATTAAGGGCAGGGGAAGAGGCCATGAACTCAGCTTTGGAGGATAGAGGAGCTCTTGGGCACCTCCAGGAGAGGAGGGCTAGGCAGTTGACTACAGGATTAATGATCACAGAAAAAGCCCGAGCCTAGTGATAGCAAACTAGTCATAGCAACTTCATTGGTCGCCCACCTCTCATCTCTCACCTCCCACCCTGCACATGTCCACCAGGGCCTGGAGGCTCCCACTTCCCTCTCCACCTGGCCATTGCCTGCTCTGGAATCCTGCCCTAGCTGGGGAGGAAGGCTACCTCAGTACTTCTGTACACCTTTGCCAGGATCTGCTGGAGAGGAAATGCCTTTTGCCTCTTGTATGTAACCAAAGTTCCTCAGCAAACAAGAGGGGGACTGTGAGCCAAGTAAGAGCACTAGATCTTAAACTTTCTGACTTAATGGTCAGCCTTCGACCTTCTTTTACTTTTCATTAGAGGGCACAGTCTTTCTCAAGTATCACACTCAAAGGAAGAATGGGTCATTTGTTATACTGTGGAAGACATACCCTGGCTTTCAGCCCCTGGTCAGAGGCCAGCATGGGACCTAGTACACAGTAGGCACCTCATGAATATGAGGAGAATCAAAGCGGTAATAAGGCCCTATCTTGCTTATAGATTAAATACATGGGAAGGAAACAGAAAACTGAATTATCGCAGCCTTTGGTACGGCTTCGACAGCAAGAAAATAATCTAGCAGCCTCAAGTTTTCAGGATCTTGGCTGTCTTTGATAGACAAGGTAAAAAAAAAGAGAAACAAGACCTTAGATGTACCCTTGCTTGTTTTGACCATGACTGTAGAGCAGAACCTCTGGATGGCCTTGCTTACCTAATTTAACCCAGGTGGGCCTCAGTTTCCTTGACTGTTAAGTGGGGGATGGTAATTACACTTAGGTTACAGAGTTGCTATAAAGTTTAAATGTGTTAATATTCATCAAAAGCACATGGTGCCTAGTAGGTGCTAAGTAAATGCTCATTAGATGAATAGACAGACCATCCCAAGTAACAGCTCCTGGGGAGGGGCTCCAGTGGATGTCCTTGTGCCAGGAGAGGTTGCAGCCCTGGTTCCCTCCATGCCCAGATTAGTGACACTAGATGTTGGCAGTGCATAGAGACCTGTTTTTTTCTCTTGCCTTGGTGGAAGAATTCATTAGCTTGCCCAGAAAAAGCAAGGTAGCTCTTAAGAGACCCTGCCTCTTGTAGGACCATGTGTTGGGGCAGCAGGAATGGGCTAGAGGGTGGCCCTCACAACTACAGATCTTCCATCATGAACAGTGTAGAACATGTTTAACTCCATAAAAGCTGTTCACTAACAAGGCTTCAAGTGCTCTCATAAGCACTGAAGCCCACACTGATTATTCTCTAAAGGTGTGTCAGTCTCAGTCATCAGGCAACCATAACAAAATATCATAAACTGTTTGGCTTGAGCCAACGGAAATGGATTTTCTCACAGTTCTGGGGGCTGGAAGTCCAGTATGGTCAGGGTTCGGTGAGGGCTCTCTTCCTGGCTTGCAGATAACCTCCTTTTCCCCACATCCTCACATGCAGAGAGAGATGGAGAATGCTGGTGTCTTTCTCAGAAGGACATTAATCCCACATAAGGGCCCCTCCTCATGACCTATCTCCCAGAGGTCCCCATCTTCAAATATCATCATGCTGTTAGGTCTTCAACAGATAAATTTAGTAAGGGACACAATTAGTACATAGCAGCATCCTACTATTTCATTTCACAGATGAGAACACCAAGATGAGAAGTTACACAACTTATGTGACTTCACAGAGCAGACATCTGAGTCCATGGCTGCCTGACTCCACTGTCTTACTCTTCCCATAACACCTTGCTGATGTCAAGGACTCCACACTGCTGTGTTCCCATCCCATTAGAGCTGGTTGGGCAATAATCCATTTCTAACAAATATGACAGCACCATATTGCACTTGATTACTGACTCAGGTATATGAGAGGCTCTGGAATTTGGATCTGCCACTAAGGCAGCAAATCTCTGATTCTGGAAGCTCGTTGAGAGGGCTGGTTTCTTGTAAAACATCAATGATTTTTTTTGGAAGGGGCGGGTATTGGGGTTTGAATTCAGGGCCTTAGGCTTGTGAGGTGCTCTACCATTTGAGCCATGCCTCCAGCCCTTTTAAAAGTTATTTTTCAGGTAGGAGTTCATGTTTTTGCTGGGGCCAGTCTCTGACCACAGCCATCTTACCGTCAGCCTTCCTTGTAGCTGGGATCACAGGTGTGAGCCACCACAGTTGGCCCTTGAAAAGGGCCTTAAAAGAAAAAATCATCAGTGGGCTGGGTGAGGTGGCTCACGCTTGTTTATCCCAGCTACTCTGGAGGCAGAGATTGGGAGAATCTCTGCTCAAGGCCAGCCTGAGCACAAAACTTAGCAAGACCCCATCTCAATAAGCAAGTCCTGTGTGGTGGTGCACTCTGATCTCAGCTGCTCATAAGGCATAGGATCGTCGTCCAAGGCCAGCCCTGAGCAGAAAGCAGAAAACCCTATCTGAAAAATAGTGAAAGCATAAAGGGCTGGAGACTTGGCTCAAGTGGTAGAGCACCTGCTTAGCAAGCATGAGGCCCTGAGTTCAAACCCCAGTACTGCCCTGCCCCAAGGCCCTCTTTAAATAAGACTGGCCAGTAAAGGTGAGTACTGGCAGGGACAGGGGAGGGTGGAAGGATGTGATCTTTCCCATGTGACCACAGAGCAATCTGGCTGGGAGGAATCTCATCCCTGAAGATAAACAGGGCAACAGCTGCTGTGCCCTTGAGTCAGTGGGTATGACATGTCATGGGTAAGACGCTTCCATGGCCACAGTCACAGTCCAGTGCTGACCTGGGTTGCCCTAAGTTGCCTAACCTGTCACAGGGGGCAGGAGCTTGGGGCCAGCTTCCTTCTCCAGTGACTTCATCATCATTCACACGGAAGCAGATAACCAGGTGGGAAGTCAGCTGAGTCCGGTGTAGGAGCTAGGAAATTCACACAGCAGTTGAGCCTCACATGGGAAGGTAAGGGGGCATGGTTCTCTGTCAAGGGTAACTTTTGTCCTCCTTCATAAGGTTTTGGGGAGCTAAAAATCTATCAGGAGACAGGGTAGACCAGGATCCTGTGGCCCTAATAATCCTCAAAGAACAATAGGCTCAGGAGCTCTAACCAGTCACGGGCAGCAGGGTCTTCTTGCCCCTCCCTACCTTATGTGGACGGAGCTGTGACCCTACGGACTTCTCAAGGGAGGCGCCTTCACCTGCTTCAGGTCTAGCCAGAGAGACTGATGAAGGTAGGGTCAAGAATCTGTGTGGATTTTGTTGTCATTGTTATTTTCTTGATTTGTTTGAAGCCGTCTTTCAAGGTAGCCCAAGCTGGGCCTTGGACTTGTGATCCTTCTGCCTCAGTCTCCCAAGTCTTTCTCTCTCAGGCTAAGTGTACCACCAGGCCTGGCTCCAGAATCTATGTTTTAACAAACTCCCTGTATGAGTCTTACATGCAAGGAAGTTTAAGAACCACCAGATCAAAGTTCCATTGATCACTTAAAGATAACAGATGAAAAGTAGACTATCCTCTATCCTAGGGTACACTGGAGAAATCACATATAAATGTCCTCCAAATGAGTAAGTCAGAGCACCACTTTCCCAGAGGACTTGGTGAGGCACCATGGGAGTGGGCTGAGCTAAGGTGGCAGCCAGGGCCCCTGTGCTCAGTCCTGGCTTAACCCAGTCATTTCAAGTCAAATCTGCTTCCCAGCCTCTTTCTCCTGCCCCCAAAGCATCATCTTCTTTTGAATGAAGAGTAAGTGATTCATTCTACCCTTGCCCTATAGTAGAAACATAATTTCTAAACTCATAAAGCATATGTGAAGCCAGGGATTTCCTCACTTTCTATGGAAATATGAACAATTTTGGGACAGAGTCACACATAACTCCACTCCTGTTCACGATCAAGTGTCCCCAGTTCAGATGTATGAGGTCTGGCCTTCAGACCCTTCTCAGGTAGCTGCAGCCAGGTAAAGGAATTAGACCTGCAACAGATGAGAACTCACACAGTAGGTTCCAGGTTTCTGCCAGCTCCTTGGGAGCCACAGAGGCTATCGGTGGGTCCCCAGAGCCTGGGACTCAGCATTTAGTGGACAGAAGAATCACTTTTTGCAGGAAAGAGTTAACTGCATCCTACAAAGTCAGTTTCTGATAAGAAACTGGAAAGTGTATATTAATTAGTCCCACAGCTGATTCAGAAGCAGTCTATCTCTGGCCTTGGGCTGAGAAGCACCACCAGAAGGATTGGTCCTCCAGAAGGGGAGAGAGTGTCAGCAGACAGGGATGTACTACATCCAAATGCTGAAAGGCTGGAGGTGGGAACAGAGACTAAATTTCTGTAGCAGCTTCATGCATATACTCCCACATGGCATAATGTGCAGTGAGCAGCTTGGAAGAGTTCAAGGCTAAATGTGTAGATTTTGATTTTTGTCATGGGGGCAGAACTCAGTCAGAATTTAAAACACTTTTCCTGAGACAGGTGATATGTACAGCAGAGAAACATAGGTGTGTGACCCGTAAGGTCACTGCATCTCTCTGAGTCTGTTTCCTTATCTGTCGAATGACAAAAATAACAAAAAACTCCCCTCACAGTGTTGGGACTTAATAGATACAAAAGTGCTTTTTAAACCACACAGCTCCATAACAAAGTAAGATCATCACTTACACAAAGCGAAAGCCACACACATCCTGCTGGCTCCTTAGCTCCACCCCCTCAGCCCCTTGGCTGTGCAGTTCCTGCCATGCATCTGACATTCCTCTACTATAGACAATGAGTTCCCTGAAAGTGGGTACCAGCCTACATTTAAACCTTGTTATGAACTGAATATCTGAATATCTGTGTCCCTTCACCTTCAAATTCCTATGTTGAAGCCCTCACCTCGAATAGCACTAACACTATTTGGAGATAGGTCCTGTGTGGGGAGCTGACAAAGGTTAAATGAGGTCATAAGGGTGGGGCCCTAAGCCAATAGAACTGGTGCCCTTAATAAGAAGAGGAAGAGACATCAGAGCACATTGTCCTCACAAGAAGATTGCCATGTATAAGCTAGGAGAAGAGCCTTTCTCAGACCCCAGGCCTGCTGGCAACTTAATCTTGAACTTCTATTCTCCAGAACTATGGGAAAATAAATTTCTGTTGTTTAAGCTACCCATTCTATGGTATTTTGTTACCGTAGCCTATGCTGACTAAAACAAGTCTGCAAGCACTATTTACAATAGCCAAGTTATGGAAATAGTCAAGATGCCCCACCACTGATGAATGGATTAAGAAAATGTGGTATCTATACACAATGGAATTTTATGCAGCCATGAAGAAGAACGAAATGTTATCATTCGCTGGTAAATGGATGGAATTGGAGAACATCATTCTGAGTGAGGTTAGCCTGGCCCAAAAGACCAAAAATCGTATGTTTTCCCTCATATGTGGACATTAGATCAAGGGCAAACATAACAAGGGGATTGGACTTTGATCACATGATAAAGCGAGAGCACACAAAGGAGGTATGAGGATAGGTAAGACACCCAAAAAACTAGATAGCTTTTGTTGCCCTCAACACAGAGAAACTAAAGCAGATACTTTAAAGCAACTGAGGCCAATAGGAGAAGGGGACCAGGAACTAGAGAAAAGGTTAGTTCGAGAAGAATTAACTTAGAAGGTAACACACATGCACAGGAAATTAATGTGAGTCAACTCCCTGTATAACTATCCTTATTTCAACTAGCAAAAACCCTTGGTCCTTCCTATTATTGCTTATACTCTGTCTTCAACAAAATTAGAGATAAGGGCAGAATAGTTTCTGCCTGGTAGCGAGGTGGAAAGGGGGAAGAGAGGGAGTGGGGGGGAAAGGGAGGGTACGGGGTGGGGGGGGGAGAAATGACCTAACCATTGTATGCACATATGAATAAAGTAAAAATTTTAAAAATAATCAGATAAGTCTGCAACACATAGCATAGGTCTGACTATGCAGTAAGGCCTCAATAAATGGCTCTTCAGTTGACGAGCTGGGGGTGAGCAGAGCTCATATATTTTTGTCAGGCATTATACTCCTTCCGCAGAACAAGATCTTTCAAGAGTTTTCGTAGTGATTAAGTTAGTTGCCCTGGATTGAAATACTTGTGGGAAAAGACAAGGCTATAAAAGCAGAAATGGGGTGCTAGGGACTGAATCATGTTCCCTTAAAACCTGTATGATGAAGCCCTACTCTCAATATGATTGCATTTGGAGACAGGGCTTTTTAGGGGTATATATGGTTCAATGATGTCATATGGGTGGGATCCTAATCCAGTAGGATTAGTGACCTGATAAAAAGAGGAAGAGAAAGGGTTGGGGACACAGCTCAGCGGTAGAACACTTGCCTAGCATGTGCAAGGCCCTGACTTCATCCCCAGCACCACAGACAAGGAAAAAAGAGAGACCCCCGTCCCAAGGGTCCCACTAAGGAAGGACACGTGAGTGCACAGTGAGAAGGTGGCTGTCTACAGGAAGAGGCGCTCTCAGCAGGAAGAGAGTTGGATGGCCTCTTCATTTTGAACTTTGTAGCCTCCAGATATATGAGAAATAAATCTCTAATGAAGTCACCCAACCTATGATACTTTCTTGTATAGGGGGAAAGATGGGACCTGAAGATCTGGGGGTGATATTCACAGATAATTTAACAACTAGAAGAAGAAGAAAGAACTTAACTTTAGGCACATGAATTGCCCCAAGGAAAAAAATGGGTTTTAAGATTCTTCGTGGTTAGCTTGGCTAGTTTTTCACCACTGATTTTTACAATTGTTTTAAGTTGTGATATACTTCACTAACCCCAAAATTCACCCTTTGAAAGTACACAATTCGGTGGATTTTATGAATGACCTATGTTACAGTTTTTCAATCTGGATTATGTTTTAAGGCAGTTGTGAACAGAAGCAGATTTTCCTTTACACAGCTAAGGTTTGTTAAAGTTGTCCAAACGTTCACCACACCCCAGCCACCGACCCATCTCGGGCCACGGATCTTACCCAGTGTGGTGAGCAGCAGGCTCACAACTTGCCGGTTGGCGGCCAAGGCCGGGCCAACGCGCGGGTGAATGGCTACATTGGCCAGCACACGGGTCAGCTTGATGAGCACGTCCTCAGCCTCTGACGGGGGCCTCTGTGCAGTGGGCTGCTTGGCTCGTGCACATCCCCGCCTCTGCGAGTGCAGATCGAGGCAGTAGAACGTCTGGAATAATGACAGCAGTGTCTGGATGCTCCCTTTCTCTTTGGAAAAGTGTTCTCTAGCCTGGTTGTGTTTTGCCGTCAGGTTGCCAAGAATAAAAACTATACGAATGACTAAATCCTGCAATAAAGGAAAGACAAAAAATTACAAGTTTGAAGAGGCTAGAACAAATCCTTGGAAAGAATACAGTCATATTTAATTTATTTGCAATTTAATTAATAATAAAATGGAACACATCTGGCTTCCACTAATGCATACACTATATGATTTCCAAGATGGGTGCAAAGTGACAGAGATTAAAAGCAGTTGGAGGCAACGAAAGAATACAAACTGACTGATGTGATCAGTGAGGTCTATTAACTTCAGATCCTTCATCTGAAATTCTGGGTGGTTTTTTTTTCCTTTAAAATTCCCTGAGAACAATTAGTTGAGTGGGCTACATGTGTCATGTAAATCTAAATTTTGACACTAATAGATTTGTTGAACATCCAAATCTTTTCCTAAAAATTTCCCTCCTACTGAAGCCTTGTGTCTAAAAATTGGGAACTTCCCAATAGTGGATTGTATTACAGTAGGGTTTCTTGATTTCAGCACTATTGACATTTGCAGATGGACAATTCTGTGTGTGTGTGTGGTGTGTGTGTGTGTGTGTGTTGTGTGTGTGTGTTGAGACAGGGTCACCTCATGTAGCCCAGGCTGAACCTCCTGAGTGCTGGGATTACAGATGGGTACTACCACACTTGGCTCAGGTGTTGTAGGGAGCTGTCCTATGCAATGAATCTGCCTAGTAGATGCCAGTGGCACCTCTACAGGTGTGACCACCAAAATGTCTAACTATCTTCTCAGACAATATCCTCCCCAGTTGAGAATCACTGTGTTATATCAGAGAAAAAAGTAAAGCAGTACTGCAATTCTTGATGTTGGTGATGGTTACATGAGTGACACCTTTACAACTACTTGCTAAATTATACATACAGGTTTATGTACTTTTCTGTATATAAGCTACATTACACAATAAAAAAATGCTTTAAAATCCCAAGCTGAGGACATTTTTAAATTAAAGACAATTATGTTCTTAATTTGACAGCAGTACACAGATTTGGGTTATGATGAGTCTTACTCTGGGGTGGTGAATGGAGCCACTTGGGAGGTGGGTTAAAAGAATACTTAAGAAAGTGTTTAAAAGAACATTTACTGAGGGTCACAATCAGCCTCGGTGCTGATATTTGTTGAGCCAGGCACAGTGCTCTTTCACAGACAAGAAACTGGGACCAGGGGAATGGCTTAAGTGGTAGAGCTTCTGCCTAGCAAGCATGAGGCCCTGAGTTCAAATCCCAGTACTGCCAAAAAGAAAGAAAGTAAAGAAAAGAAACTGGGTCTTGTAGAAGCTGTCCAGGTCACATGGCTGGTGAAGATGGATCAGGATTCAAACCTAGATTTACCCAGTCTGGTGTTGTTTTCACATCCAGGCCCCGCCTCCCACATGGAGTGTCACTTAGTTTATCTCCTCCTCTGTCTTACCTTCTTTTAAAAGGTAACACAAATGTGCCACCACCATGAACCTGACTTTGTTGATCAGGTGAGTCATGATCAGCAGTCTTAAGGAGAGGAGACAGGCAAAGGCTGGGCACATGTTCATCCAGGTACAGAAGAGCCAGATGGGACCCTGGGGGCCCATTGCAGGGTACTGGGTATGGTAAAGAGCCAGCAGAGGATTAAGGGCAAAGGCCAACTTTTGGATTTGCCTGGGACCACTATGTCAATACCAACTCGCTCCTGCTCGTTCTTGAAAAGGTTTGCCCTGAACCTCGCTGGTAGTGAGGATGCTGCTTGTGCAGTTGGGAGTCATTTGCCGACATTAAGATAGGAAGGAGCCCAAAACTGTGACAAGAACTGGATCTGGTCCAGGAGAGGGATCATTAAGGGAAAGAGTGCAAATCCCAGCACTCAGCCAACCATAGCAGTCATCCAATTAGGAGTACCTGTCTCTTGTTCCCCGCCAAGAAAAGAGTTAGTCCTTTGCTAATGCTTGGATGAGTGGAGGACCGTGGGAATGCACACACAGGACCAGTATGAGACTCAGCACTGAGAAGAGCTTTACAGCATACCTGAGAAGCAAGGCTAACCTATCTGGGGAATCAGCAAAGCAAGGGCTAGACAGGGGAAGGCACTGTGGAGTCCAGCTTCAGAGCCAGGCAGACTAGATGCCCACAAGGGACTTAGCTTGTCTGGCCTCTATGAACTTACTAGGAAAACACTGCATTATGAGATCGAGTGAGACAGAACAGGCCAAGCTCCGATTGTACTGAGTAATGAAGCAGGCATTGCTCTGACCCTTTTTCATGTACTATCAACAAAAGGTGGCTTCACAGCTCTGGACTGTGGGAGAGAGCCAACAGTCTTAGAAGAGAGCAGAAAGAGGCTGCTCAGGGGGCAGTCGGGGGGGTCAGCAGAGTTGTCATGAATGAACTTGAGTTCAACTTTGAAACTGCCGTGGAATGTGGCTCTGTATGCAGGGGAGGAGGGGGCAGGTAGTATGGGAGATGGAGGAGTCTTTAGAGGGTAAATCTGGGACAGTCTCCTTCCTGGGGCCTGGGGTCACCTTGTCATTCTTTGATCACTTGCCTGTTCCCCCAAAGAAGCTGAAGATTGTGGTGCTTAAGTCTAAAAGAAACACACACAGGCTGATGGAGTGGCTCAAGAGGTAGAGTGCCTGCTAGCAAGTGTGAGGCCCTGAGTTCAAACCCCAGTACTGCCACACACACACACACACACACACACATTTGATTGTGATAACTGAGACCCACTTCACATAAAACCAATATTACCAATGCAAAGGCCTGCCCTTCCATGGGCTTGGGACGGATGGAAACAGAGAGGTAGCTTCTACAACTAAGCCAGACACCAGACGCAACAGAAAAGCAGTTTTTTCCAACCAGGACAGAGGGAATTTCCAAGAATTAAACTCCTTGATGGAAAATTCTGTTTTATATTCTCTAAGATGGAGATAATGAGCAAAGTGTGGAAACTTTGCTATGTTTTCTGATTAGACACTCCATACAAGTTCTGCTTCTGAAAACCATAATAATTATTAGTAATAGTAGCAGCAGCAATAACACAGAACTTATGATGTGCACTGTTCTAAGGCTTATATGAACACATTAACTAATTCACTAAAAAATAAAAGATAACTTGCACTTCTGTGTGAACAAAGCTATTTACAACACTTAAACCCAGACAGCAATTATGTTAGCAATTTTTAGACTTCACTGTATACCCCAGAATGTGCTCTTCTCCCGTTTCCACAAAAGCATATCAAATGAGGCCAGGAAGACACTGCCAGTGATTTTAAATGCTTTCCTTTTCTTAAAAAAAAAAAAAAATGGGGGCAGGCGGGGAAGTACTGGGGTTTGAACTCAGGGCCTCATGCTTACTAGGCAGGTGCTCTATCACTTAAGCCACACTGTCAGCCCTTTAAATGTTTTCTTAAGGAATTTAATAAATAGCTGATTCTTTTGGCTAAATCAATACCAGGACTAATCAACTTACCCTCGAAAATGTCACTGCCATATTCTGAAGTATGCTTTGACAGCCTTCCTTCCTTCCTTCCTTTCCTCTCTTCCTCCCTCCCTTCCTCCCTTTCTTGCTTCCTTTTCTTTGATGGTCCAGGGGTTTAAACTCAGGGCCTCATGTTTACTAGGCAGGCATTCTACTGCTTGAGCCACTCCACCAGCTCTTTTTTATGTTGGGTATTTTTGAGATAAGGTCTTGTGAACTATTTGCTCAGGCTGGCTTACCTGTGCTTCTTTCTGTCTTAGTCTAACCCAGCAGACTCCTCTGGCCCTGTATCTCTTCAGCCTATCATTGTTGACCTGGCAGGAATATTTAGATCAGAACCCTGGCTGTTGGTAAAAGTAGGTTTTCCTTTTTTTGGTGTTGGAGTTTTTGATTGGTTGGTTTTTGTTTTGTTTGTTTGTTTGTTTGGTGGTACTAGGGTTTGAACTTGAGCCATACCCCTAGTTCTTTTTTTGGTGGTAAGGGTTTGAACTCCGAGCTTCACACTTGCAAGGCAGGTACTCTACCACTTGAGCCACACCTCCAGCCCTTTTCAATCTGGTTATTTTGGACATAGGGTCTCCCTTTTTGCCAAGGCCAGCCTGGACCACAGTCCTCCTATTTATGCTTCCCTCATAGCTGGGATGACAGGTACATGCCACCATGCTCAGCTTTTTTCTCTTGAGATGGGGTCTCGTGAACCTTTTTGCCCAGGCTGGCCTGGAATGGTGATTCTCCCAATTTTAGCCTCCCAAGTTGCTAGGATTACTTGTGCATGAGCACAAGTACCCAGCTGCAGATTTTCTTAGCTATCATCATTCTTCAAAATTCAAATCACCTCTACCCACTGTCACATTTGGTCTAATCTGGGAAGACTAAGTGCTACCTTTCTTTTCCTAAAAGTTCCCCCAGGCCCATTCCACATCTCAGATTCTTTGACTGGACTGTTTCTGTAGGTCCTGACGTGGTGTAGATGATTAAGCTGCAAGTGGGAAAGAAGAAAGTCTAGGCTATTGGGCAGGAAGAGTTAACACTGTCACAATACCTCTTTCGCTGCCTTCAGATGGAAAAAGGAGGGGGTGGTTCTTGGCAGCAGCAGTGCCAACTGAAGGATGGCATGCAAGATCAACAAATGGGATGGCAGATTGCACTGTTTGCAGCGCCCAACTTCCAGCAACTGCTGGCTCTATGTGTCTGTCCTCTTTCTCGGGTTGGCTAAGGCATCTTTTTTTTTTTTCCCCATCTTTCTCAAATATGTTCTCTGCTGATGGAGGGAACATGGGATAGGCCAAAATAGAAGCAGTCTCACAGGAGGTTGGCAGAGGTGGCTCTCTTGTTCTTGCTCACCTGGCAAGGCCCTCTCCCCACCATGCGTGGCCTTAGCTCTCACTCCTGCACTAAAGCCTCCCTCAGAGGAGAATGAACCTAGGTCTGCCTTTGGGTAGGGGTATGGAGAAATTATCTATGGTTCTACAGTCCCATCCCCCTCAAGTCTACCAAGCACCACTGAGTTAAATATCCTATTCACAGAAATTAAACCAAGGCCAGTCACTGATTTGTAAAGA